GGGAGAGAGAGGAGAGAGAGAGAGAGAGAGAGGAGAGAGAGAGGGGAGAGAGAGAGAGGCAAGGAGAGAGGGGTGAGGGGCTGGAATCTGCTGGAAGTATGACCATTTTTGCTTCTATCTTTGTCAGAGAAGGGACGTCCTGCAGAGCTGCAAGAGGAGACAACGTGTGACGTGAGATGTGAAAGGACAGTGTGGTACAGTGGGCAGAGCACTGGGCGTAGGCTTGAGCCAGGGCTCTGCTACTCAGTACTTGTGTGGACTTGGGTGAGTCACTCCCCCTCCCCAGGCCTCAGAAGCCTGGTCTGGAAGATGAGGAGGCTCCCTGACTTCCTAAAGTCCCTGGGGCAGAGTATGGGGCTTGTATGAATGGACTGTGCTTTTCTGAGAGACCCTGGGTGACTCAGGGTAGACTGAGGCAAAGGGGAAAGGGACATGGGATGACATCCTGGACAGAGGTGCAGGCTGTCCCACCCCAAGAGGGAGGGCCTAGATGGAGTCACTGTCCTGTTCTCTGGCCACCCCAGGGCCCAGAAGACATACGCTTTGGGGAAGGGGACCCTTGGGTGTAAGGAGGACGTCATGCCCCACTGGCTATACTGGCTTCGCTCAGTCCTTCTGTTAGGCCTGCGCCACTGACCAGATGATGACCTTAAAACAAATTAGGCATTCTAGTGGGGACAAGCTTCTGTCTCAGGAAGGGTCCAACCCCATCCCCCACCCCAGCCAATGTACGCATGAGTTAAGGTCAGGTTAGCACCTGGGCCTCTGTTTTCCTCAATTGTCTAATGAGTCAATTGGCTGTGGCCCATCTCTTCCAGCTCTAAATCTAAAACCCTCCCTGGGTCTCAGTTTCCTTATCTGTAAAATGAGACCAGATGGCCCCCCAGGTCCCTCCCAGACCTAAATCTGTGATCTTTTCTACCTAGTGAATAGAAACACGGCGGCCCCAGAGGGCGGAAGGAGTCTCCCTTTCCTCCCAGGCCCCTGCAAAAGCAGCCTCCACTCCGCAGGACTCCTTTTCCCCTTCCGGCTTCCTCAGAAGCCGAGCCCCTCTCCTCCATCCCCACAGTGAGAGTCAGCATTAAAAGAAGGAGCCCAAGACCTCTCTGAAGGAAATCTGCCTCGTCCTCATCTTACCCTTAGGAAGCTGAGTTTTTAAAGCATGATGGCAGCACTTTACATTTATCTGTACTGATTTTTAAATGGAGAACAGGAGATCCCTGCTAGGGCAGGGGTTGGGATCAATGCCCTTCTCTGGTGATCCTTTGCCATGAACAAGCTCACATCTCTTTGCTAATTGTGGTTCTGGTGACTTTGGGACTCTAAAACTACAGAGGCAGAAACAAGAGAGCCAAAGTAGGCCGCAGGCCAGTGGCAAGAAGGGCAGAGAGATGGCACAGAGACGCTGGCATATTCTAGTCCTAGAGAAAGCCCTCTTAAGGTAGCCACCTGCCACTGTCAGAAGAGCCTCCTGCCTGACCGTGCACCATCCCTCCCAATCCCCACCCTTGTCCTGAGCCCACACCCTCCCACCCTGACTGACCCTGAGCTGAGAAAGCAGCAACACAGAACACATCATTCCGTGTTCAGCTTCACCCAACTCAATGACTGTGGCAGATTCTATGTATGTGACATTCCACACCTGTAGTCCTCTACCCCTCCACTGAAAACTCCCTCTCCTTCCTTCCTCACCCTGGTGGCCATCCACCATCTGACTCACCAGCTTGGGCCAAGCTATAGCCACCCTTGCGGCCTGCCAGGCTGCCCAGATCCCCCTCCCTGACAGGTTAGCCTTGAAAGTCGGAAGACCTAGTTTTGAGTCTGGCCCCTGAAATGAAACAAACTGTGTGATCGTGGCAAATTTCTGGGCCTTAGCTTCCCTACCTGTAAAACAGACATGACAACCTTTGCCCCATGTACCTCACAAGGTTGCAGTGGGCATAAAGTACTTTTCACACCTTAAGGTACTCTAGGGATGGGAGCTGGGATTATCCATCCACACACACCTTCCAACCCATTCAGAGACAGAGGATGGGGAGAATAGTGGCAAGCTCTCTGCCTGGCATCCTGTCAGCTGGGTAATAGCAGGAAAGGTCACTGGCCTGGGAATCTGATCAGAAGGTGTAGAAATAAAAGGCATTAATTAAACTACAAAAATAAAAATGCAGGCTGTAAAGAAAGGGCTATATGGATACATAGGAGGGTTTATATGTTTACAATTACATTAGGAGTCTAGTGTCCCAGTGACTCATTTGGAAAATGGAGCTGTTTTCTAGCCTTGGCACCCCAGTAAACCAAAATCTTTCTCTTAGGGCTGGATCTCCTCCCGGGGAGTAAAAACAGGTACCCGCTGACTCCCTTAGAGGTGACAAAGTGGGAGATGAGTAAATCAACCCCACCCTTACCTCTGCAGCCAGAAAGATCCCCTCTACAACTCCTCAGAGGATTTGGTGGGAGGCTCAGAGTGGGGTCCTGCTCTGAACCCCTCATTTCCCTCACATGTCAGTAATCCTTCTGAGCTGAGAGTGAGCCCCTCCCCACCCAGTCACAACTGGGAGGGGATATGAAGCCCACCCTTGGGTCTTTTTATTGCTTACATGGAACTTGGCCCAATATTTTGGAGAAGGGTTGAGGGAGCTAGAGCAAATGTGTTTCTGTGTGTGTGTGTGTGTAAAATGACATGTATGTGTGTGAACACAGGTGTTGGGCATGTGTGAGCAGAAGCATGTATCTGAAAGTGAACATCTGTAAGCATGTTTCCCCCTCTATGAAATGAGATGGTTGGACAAGGGGACCTTTAAGGTGCCTCCCAACATGGGACTCTAGGATACTATCTAGGGACGTGCAGTTCATTGGCTGGAAGGACAAATTGCTCAGAATGGAATGGCACAGATGGGCTGATGGGTGGAAAGGGGTCGCCCACGGTCCTCTGAGGCCTGGCTGCCTTCTCCCTGAAAGCCCAGGCCAGCGATGGGCTGAGAGCCTGCTGTCCGGCTAAGCGGTAGATGCAGGTGGGTGGGGGGTAGGTGGGCGCTTTGAAGGGAGGGGCATGAGGAAGGGCTCCTCAAAGGGCCCGACCTCAACCCCCCAGCCCCAGCCTGCCAGGCGTGTGCTTAGCACGAGAGAATGGGGATGCCCTGCCCTGAATTCTGGAATTTGCTTAGATACATTTGACTCCTCAAGGCCCAGACTGATGAGAAAGTCAGCTGGATTCAGGAGGCATAAACAGATGAGCCCACCCACGCCCAATGGGAGCTCTCATGGTCCAAACTAGGGTCCATCTGTCCTGGGCTAACCTTGGCCCTAGGCCACAGAAGGGCCTCCCTCCCTCCTTCCAGCCACTCCCCTCATAAAGGACAAGGAATTGGACTTGGGAATCAGGAAGACCTGGGTTCAAATTCTGCTTCCGACACTTACTAGCTGACCCTGGCAAGTCATATGCACTCTCCAGGCCTCAGTTTCCTCAGCTGTAAAATGAGGGAGCTAGACTCAGTAAGCACTGAAATCCCTTCCAGCTCTCATTGGCCGAGGCTCTGCTGGGCCTGTGACCGTCTCCTAGTTGTACACAGGCCCTCAGAGCCCCGTACTCAGTATTCTTCTTCCTTTTCTCTGTCTCTCTGAGGCCTAACTCTATTGCTTAAACACTTAGAACTTCTGGGGTGACAGACAGACAGACAGATGGATGGAGGGATCACACTGGCCCCTAGTCCTTCCCTCCATACCAAGATCTGGAGCTTCAAGTGATCACAGCAAGAGGCCCAGGGGCAGACGCACCAAGGAACGGACCCCATGCTATAGGAACAGTGGGGGCCTCTGGCATCGCCCAGACCCTCAGCTCCAGGAACAAGGGAGGGGCAGGGGAGGGTAGGCCTTGGTCTGGAACATCGTCCAGGCCTGACCGAGGGCACGGTCAGCAGAGGAAGATGCCACCTGTCCGTCCTCACATCCTGCCTGCACCAGAGTGCAGGACTCAGTGTCAAAAAAAACCTCCGGAGACCTAGGCTTGGACCCGAGCTCCGTCATTCAGCGACGCCCTGAGTGACCTCGGGTAGGTCACCTACCTTTCTGAGCCTCTGGCATCCCCTGAGCGTGGATCGGCCGGTGGCCGTCCTGACACCACGTGGTTCTGTATGCCACGGGAGGGGGCTCTGGCTTACCCAGGGACACATGCCCACCTCCTCTCTCCTACTACTGGAAAACTACCCTTCCTCCCCTCACCTTTTTTTGTTTCTGTTTTAGCTACGAAAAACATCTATGTACCTATTTGCTAATTAGGGTTCTCGTGCCTTTGGGGCTCCTAAAATACAATCAAGAATGAAAGGACAAAAACCGAGCCCTTCCCAGGAGTGCTAGCGGCCTCAGTGAGCTGTCCCAGATCACCCCCGTGCAGACTGAATGGCCTCAGGGCCTGCCAAGGGCAGCGACCCGGCCACCCTGCTTGTCTCCCGCTCTTGGGGCGCAAGTGTTGTTTCTCAAACATTTCCCCACCTCCCCGTCCCACCCCCTCTCTATTCTCAGCACTTTCTGGAAGTTGTAAGCTTTCAGTAAAAAAAATAAATAAATATATATGTCTTTGTGTGTGTATATATATGTATATATGTATAGATATATATATGGAAAGGGCCTCATCTGGCTCCGCATCTGGCCAGAGGCCCCCACCCGAGCCGAGCTGCCCCGGCTCTTCCTATCCCACTGCCCACGAGACTTCCAGCTCAGGGGCACACCCCTTCAGTCTCCCACGTGCCTGAGGTAAGTGTGTCCGACCCCCAGCCGGGACCCTGGTAGACTCTTGCTCGCTCGCTCACTTCGGTGGGAGTTTGGAAGCGACTGCCACAGTGAATGGCCTTCCCCCGCTGGGCACCCCCGCCACAACCGCTCCTCGGCCTGCACCCCCCGGGGTCAGAGAACCTCATCTGCTCCTCTTGGCTACCCCTGCCCCAAGCTCCATCTGGGGAGGCTGCTTGCGTGCGTGGCCATCTGGCCCCTGGGTCTCCTCGCTGGCTGAGCGGCGGTCCTTGCAGAAGTCTGTCCCCCAGGAGGGTGCAGACAGGAAGCCCCTGGGGTCGACCGAGTAGGGCTGCATGCCCTCAGTCCCCAGGGGAGGCAAGGGTCCCTTGGTGGAGGACAGGGGGCCTACTGTAGACAGGCTGCTGGTGCTGCTACACCTCTTAGCCAGCCGGAGGCCTGGGGCTGGGAGGGCGGGGGAGAAGAGGGACGTGAGGGAGAGGCTGCTGAGGGTCTCCGATTGCTCACTACTGTTGGTGCCTCCACCCTGGAGGCTGCTGCCCACCCCCTCCTCGTCAGAGGGGTCCATGGAGTCGTGGTGGGTGCAGCCGGGGCTGGTGCTGCCCCCGCTGCTGTGACTGCGCTGGTGGCCTCGCAGGGTCCGCAGGCTGAAGAGGCCGCGGCCTCGCAGGCTCCGGCGCCGAGAGGCCGGGGACAGGGCAGCTGCCACCACAGTTCTGTGGGAGGCCCCGGCGTGGGGACCGGGCAGCCTGGGGCACAGGGCGGAGGGGAGGTCCAGGGTGCACTGGGGGGAGTCGCTGAGATTCAGGCTGTCGTCCAGCGTGGTCTGAAGGCTGCCCACCGAGCCGCTGCTCCGGCTGTTGTCCAGGGAGGTGTCGCTCTCTGTGGTCTGAGAGAGAGAGAAATGAGATGGGGGGAGATCTCGGAGCTGGTGGGGCCCTTGTGTGACGGATGAGGAAACGGGTGCCTAAGGGCACGCAGAGGCAAAGCCAGGGTTTGAACCCAAGTCTTCTGACTCTGGAGCTAATCATGCTGTTTCCACCACACATGGACAGCTATTGGGCCATCTTCTTGGGAGAGGCCCGGCCTTCGCCCCCAAGCTGTCCTAGCCATTCTGTCCCTATTCACTGTGTGCCCCCAAGACAAACAGACTCCCCCCTCTGGTCCTCAGGCTCCTTCTTCTGTCCAAATGAGACGGTTAGAATTCTGAGATACAAAACAGAACAAAACAAAACTCAAGTTTTCTTCCAGTTCTTAATTCTAAGTATGTATTTAAGGACCCTTGGTGCCTGGCCCTCAGCTGAGCACCGTGTGTGTGTGACATAGATTGTAAGGGTGAAAAGAAATCAGTTTTTCCCCTCCTCTCCTCCCTTCCCCCCTTTTCCTCTGGTTTTCTCTCTCTCCCTCCGAGTCTCTCTCTCTGTCTCTGTCTCTCTTGTTCTCTCTCTGTCTCTCCCTCTCTTTCTTTTTCTCTCTCTCTCATTCTCTCCCCTTCTCCCTTCCTTCGTCTATCTGTCTGTCTGTCTGTCTGTCTCTCTCTCTCTCTCCCCCCCTCTCTCTCCCTCTCTCCCTCTCTCTCTCTTCTTTGCCTCTGTCGGCCGCTTTTCCTCCTCCAGCTCTCCCTCTCTTCTGTTCATTCTGGCACTTCTTGTGAAACCTTAGGCAGCTGATGGCACAGTGGATGGGTCTAGAGTTAGGAAGACCTGAGTTCAAATCCAGCCCCAGACATTTATTAGCTGTGTGACCCTAGGCAAATCACTCAATCTCGGTTTGCCTCAATTTCTTCATCTGTAAAATGGGGATAATAAGAGCACCTACCTCTCAGGGTTATTTTGAGGATCAAATGAAATAATGATTGTAAAGTGCCTGGCACGTGTAAAGCACCATATGAATATGACCTATGATGATGATGATTTCACCTCCCTCTCTTGGCTGCAGTATCCTCAGCTATGGGTTGAGTTGAATGACCTCCGAAGGCTTTTTCCAGCCCTCACTCTAGGATACTACGACACTGTGAGAATGCTTGGATACTTTAATAGATCTTGTGACTTTCCCTGACAGAGTGTAAGCTCCTTGAGGGCAGGGACTATTTCATCTGTATCTTTGTATCCTCAGCAGTTAGTGCCTGGCACACAGTAGGCACTTACTAAATCTTGTGGACTGAGTGATTGAGATCATGGCATTCCGTCCTCCACAACTGTTGAGCATCCCTGGGCCAGGGAACAATGGTGGAAAGAGATTGACCTCGGCGCCAGGAGCAGTTCTGGTTCCTACCATTTTCCAAGGGCAATCCTGCCTGCGCTTCTCCCCGGGTCAGCTATGGGCTCAGCCGAGGGTCCAGCTCAGAGTCTGTCCAAGGTGTCCAAGGTACTGATCTACACCGATGCACCCGTGCCAGGGGCTGGCCATGCAACAGAACGGCATGGTCTGGGCTCCAAGCACCCTTCCCACGTTGGTTTCCCCTCCAAGTATTCTGTGGCTTTATGGAATCAGGTCAATGTCATCAGAAATGGGAACGCCTGGAGGGCTTCCCCATCTACAGGTGCTCTTTTCTTTGGACTCTGCAAGACCTCGCAAGCGTCCCCTTGATTTTTCTCCCTGGTGGGATCAGACGCAGCACGGTGAGGTGGACAGAGCTCTGGCCCGGCCATAATAAGGAAGCCCACCACCAGTGACATTCAGGTGTCAGAGGTTCAAATCCCACCTTCGAAATCTGCCAGCTATGTGACATTAGGCAAAGTATTGAACTTCTGAGCCTCGGTTTCATCATCACAAACAAGTAGGGTGACCTTTCAGAGTCCCAGGCAGCTCTAAGATGCCACGTCACAAAGAAGGTGCCCCTTGACATTGGCAAAGGTCATTCCCAAGGTGAGAGTTCGCTGGACTAATGAAGTCACAGGTTTGGTCCTCTTCCCTCCCACCAAAGAGAAAGGTGATTCTTTTTTAGGGATAGGGTGGACTAGGTCAGCACTTTTTAAACTGTGGGTCACAACCCCATACAGGGTCACAAAAAATTAACAACAGTAAAAAGTTTCTGAATATACAACCACCAAAAATCAATTCAAAATCAAACTCGTAATGAATCTGAGCTGTTTCTGGCAGCACTTGCCCACGCTGAATCCAGCAACTTTGCTGCAGCCTTGGTTCTGGACACAAAGCATATGCACTTTGTACTGCACACGTCCTCAGCCCATGCAATGCCAAAGGGGCCACGAGTGAAAAAAGTTTAAGAAGTCCTGGACCAGACTGCCAATAGGGTTCCTTCCACTTCTGGGCCTTTATGATTCTGTTTCAAATCTTTCTTTAAGTTTTCTTTAACGTCCAGCTTTCTTGTCCTCTGTCTTAATCTCTAAGAGTGGTCTCTTCCTTTAATTATATTAAACTATAATTGAAGGGGCAGCTAGGTGGTGCAGTGGATAGAGAGCTAGGCCTGGAGTCAGGAAGATGTGAGTTCAAATCTGATCTCAGACACTTACTAGCTGTGTGACCCTGGGTAAATCACCTAACCCTGTTTGCCTCAGTTTCCTCATCGGTAAAACAAACTGGAGAAGGAAATGGCAAATCACTCCAGTATTTTTGCCAAAAAAAAAAAATACAAAACCCACGGTGGGGGGGGGGGGGTCACACAGAATCAGACACAGCTAAAAAATAACTCAACAACAACAACAATTCATATTCAAGGGAGACACCTGGCTGGAGAACGGTTTTTGAGACTCCACCTTTCTCTATGGGATCAAATACTCTTTTGTAATCTACAAAGCTGGGATGGTAGGTTCTAGTACTCTCTGAACCTTTAGTCCATTTTGTGACTATGATGATGTGGGCTATTTAGAGACTTTTCTAGAAAATCCAGACCATTCCCATCTCCAGTTTTCCTCAAGGACACCCCTGAGGTGTACATAGACCACAGGCAATCTACATAAAGATTCTGTGGAGAAGAATAAGTAGGTACATGAGTCAATAGTTCCTGATGTCTTCCAGTTCACCCTTTTTGAGGGTAATAGTACCATTTGTGATCTGTTCTAGGGGAATCTTCCCTTCTTTGAGATAATTGTGAAAATTGGTCTCTCGCTGTCCCTTCACAGATTTCTTCTCTCAGTCAGGTCCAGCCGCGCTCTTCCTGACTCCATTTCCTTGGGTGCCTTGGGCACGCTCCTGCATGGCGCACTGGGCATTGAGGTGGCAGAATCCAGATGGGTCATTCCGTGATCATTCCGGATGAGAATCAACCATTGTGGAAATGCCCCAGATCTCTCCTACTTCCCACCTAGCTCTTGTGCTCCCCTGGTTTCATCTGGATGTTCTTAGGATGGTTTGTGTGGCTTAGCTGGACCTCACACTAAGCTCTCCGAAGGCTCATTTCCCTTCTACTTATTTTCCCTGTTTTATGAAAAGCCCACAGTCACTCATCATTTCCTCCCATAATCTTTTGCAGATGAGTCTGTACTGCAAACCAGAGGCTGTCGCATGTCTCTGCCTGGCAGGGCGTTTGCTGGCCCAGGCGTCTTCTACTGGGGGCGGACTTCTCTAAGACATGGAGACTTTCATCCATTCCCCATTTTTCACTCAACAGCTCGTTGAATTACTGAGATCACATCGGTGGCATTTCATCTTTGTCCCTTCTCCTAACGTGGGGTTCATTCTGACTGCTCTAATCAGTGGATCATCCAACCACAGTGTCCATGCACGGACAGTTGATTCCGAAACGAGTCAGCAGCAGCCCTCCCCTCCCCTCCCCAGCCAGCCATTTCCTGTCCACTAAGATGCGGGCACTTTCACTTGTCATCAGGTTGTTCAGCGTTCGCTGCGTTCAGCACCCTCTCCTTGAATAGAATGTTCATGACATAGTCACATGAGACCTCTGAGTCATCGACAAGACCTCTCTTATTTCTTCATCCTGAATCATATTTTCCAAAATAGACTTTATTGTCATCCTCCAGGCTCATGCCGGCATTGAAGTTGCCAAGTATCAGGGTAAATACTGGGCCACGTCATATTCGTGGACATAGGAATGGTTTGCCTCTGCAGTAGCTGTCCAGTCAATGAACACATGTCAAAGTGTCTACTATATGCCAGGCACTGATATGGATGCTGTGGACACACAGACAAGATAGACCAGTGCCTGCCCTCGAGGAGCATACGTTGTAGCAAGGGAAGCAATGTATACGTGCATATGTACATATGTGTATAAATATATGCATGTGTATAAATATGCATAAAGATATATGTGTAAATGTGTATGTATAGATGTATAATGATGTGTGTATATGTATATAAATATATGTATAAATACATGTGTGAATATGCATGTATATGTGTATAAAGACGTACACATAAATATGTATGTATAAATATATGTGTGTATAGGTATAAATGTATGTAAACATGTGCATACAAATATAGGTAATGCGTATAAATATGTATGCATGTGTATAAAGACATGCATGTGTGTATAAATATATGTATATAAATATGTATGTATTTACATATGTATAAAGATATAGATATACATATATGAATAAATATGTGTGTATAGGTATAAATGCACATAAATATGTAAAAATATAGGTATGTATGTATAAATATGTCTGTATATATATAAAGACATAGGCATGTGTGTATAAATACATGTATATGTGTGTATATACATATATGTGTATGAATATGTATAAAGATGTATATATGTGTGTGCATATAGGTATAAATGTATACAAATATACATAGATATATGAATAAATATGTATGTATATGTATAAAGACATGTATATAAAAATATGTATATGTGTATGAATATGTATTTATATGTGTATAAAGATATATATAAATACATGAATAAATGTATGTGTGTATAGGTATAAATGTATGTAAACATGTATAAATATAGGTTTATATGTATAAATATGTATAAAGACATATGCATGGGTATATATATGTATAAATATTCGTGTATATATAAATACATATATTTATATATTGATATATGTATAAAGATGTATGTACAGACATGTATGTATAAATATATGTGCATAGGTATAAATCTATACAGATATGCATAAATACACAGAAACATGTATGTATGTGTATAAAGACATGTATACATGTATAGAGATATCTGTATATATAAACATGTATGAACAGGTATTTATATATGTGTGAAGATATATATGTATAAATATAAATGTATGTAGATGTGTAGAAATAGATGTACAAACATATAAGTATGTGTCTATAAAGATACAGGTACGCATAAATACACACGTATAAATACAGACACAATATTTACACTATCTGGGGGGAGGGGGGCCCCGGCTTCCAGGAGGCCCAGGAAAGGCTTCAGGAAGGCCAGACTCGAGCTGCATTCTAGGGACACCAGGGATTCTTCAAGGCAAAGTGAGGGCGTGCATTTAGGGGTGGGTGGGGGCAGCTGGTACAAAGGCCTGGAGAGGAGGGGATGCTGTGTGTGGGAAACAGCGAGAGACCAGTATGGCCAGCCTCGAGAGACTGTGAACAAGAGTGATGTGTAAGCAACCTAAACTCGGTGCCCTGATCTCCAGCTGGAAGTGACCATGGAGATCACTTTACAGAGAGGGAAAGCAAGGCCCAGAGAGAGAAAGCATGCTGCTCTAGGTCACATTGAAGTAAGTGGCAAAGCCGGAATCTGAACCCGGCTCCTTGTGGCCCAGAGCCAACCCTCTTTCCGCTCTTCCACACTGCGGCCTCACCTCTTCTATGGCCTAAAAGATCATAGGCCTCGGGCTGGAAGACAGCCTGGAGGTCATTCCATCTCCCCCTGCCTTGTTTTACAAATGAGGAAACTGAGGCTCTGTAGCGACTTGGTCAAGGCGGGACCTCTGACTCTGCCCCTGCCCTAGCCTTCTGGGTGCCAGCGCTGGGCTTTCCTGCCAGTCCGCCCTGAGAGCCTCTGTGGTCGCCCTTCTCTGGACTCTGGGGGACGGCTGCTTTCACCATCTGCTAACTGGCCTTGAATGTGGCATATAGGCCTAACCCTGTGGGTGACCCCCTCTAAGCTGGAGCTGGCCCCCATCTCCCCAACCCGCTCACCTTTGCCTCTGGAGCAGAAGGGAAGCTAGGCTGGGCCCCGGCCCCTACCTGTCGGAGGAGGGTGCAGTTGACGCTTGGAGATCGTAAGGATGCCCAGGAGCCCTGCAGGGAGATCTTGGGCAGGGTCTCCTTGCAGGCGGCCTTCTCCTCGGCCTTCTGGCTGCTGGCCACAGCTGGATGAAAGAACTCTGCAGGCATGGGCAAGAGAGGGCTGGCAGCATCAGGTGAGAAAGGACTGGCCGGAACTGTCAGAGCAGAAAGAAAAGAGGTCCCAAGGATGAGACTCTCCCAGGGGCCGGGCTGCTGTCACTACTGTGGGGGGTAGGTTCACTCTGAGCAGAGGAGCGGGCTGAGGGGACAGACTTTGTGGGTCCTCTGAGCTAGGCCAGCACCCCACCAGAATGTTTAGACTCTCCCCTCTGCTTTCAGAACAGCGATGATGTAGCCATCAAGGAACGGAGGATTAGAACTGGCCACTGCCAGATGGAAAAGGCCAACAGCCACCCCACTGATGATCCCAATACTCTCCGCTCCCACGGCTCAGCCTTGGACTCTGTCTCTGACAGGAGCCCCAGGGCTGGGCTCTGGGAATTGGTCTCCTTATAGGATCCTCCCAGATAGAAGTGGTGGGGAGGCAGGTTTGAGCTTGATACGAGAAAAGGCTTTCTAACCATCAGGGTTGTTCAACAGTGGGAGGGGTGAGTTCCCCATCACTGAGGATATCCAAGTCAAGGCTAGATGGCCCTTCTTTGGGGACATTGTTCATGCATTGAGTAGGGGTTAGGCCAGATGGCCTCTGAGGTCTCTTCGGGCTTGGCGGAGTCTAGGATTCCTCAGAAGCAGGGCCCCCCTTCACCCCCTAGAATAGTGGCAGGAACCCTCCTCACCCTGACCACTCTCGTGTTTCAGCCAGGACTGGACAGGATTGAAGGGGTCCTTCTCCATCTCACACAGGTAGCTCTCTGGGGCCTCTGAAACGGCCATGTTGGACAACGGGAAGAAGCATTCTCCCGAGTCCCCGATCTCGATGGGGTCAGGAGTCTCTGACTCTCCCTGCTGGAGAAGGAAGGGCAGATTGAGAGGCTGAAGGGGCTCTGAGTTTCCATCGGAGAGAGCACTGGATTTAGAATCAGAAGACCCGGCCCTGGTGCCGGCTTTGTTCTTTGTTAGCTGTGTGGCCCTGGCAAGACTCCAAATGCCTCTGATTCCCAGTTTCTTCATCTGTCAAATGGGTCAATAATCCCCAATCTGGCCTATTCCTGGCTTAATGCAGGCTCAAATGAGATCATACTATGTCCCAGGCTTTGTGCCAGGCACCAGACATACCGGGGCAAAAATAAAACAGTCCCTGACCTCGAGGAGCTAACTTTCTCCTTGGGAAGCCACGAGAGCTTAGTAAGCCACGTACAAGAAACCATTATTTTTGACACGGGTTGGAATCACAGGGAGTGATAAGACGTGGAAGAAAGGAGACCCATCCCAGGTGTGGACGGCTACTGCCCAGATGTGAAAGGGCCTTAAAGGACCTTTCCTAAATCTGTGGCTGCTTCAGGTCAGGATTCTACCTTTGCAGATGGAGCTTGGTGCTCTGCACACAGCAGGTACGTGATAAATGTTTATCAAATTGAATCGCATTGAGGGTCTATCAGCGTCTCTCTACAAAATGTTTGTCACAGAGGCTGTTTCCTCATCTGCAAAACAGAGGTGGACCATAGTTGTACTCTGTGTGTCACAGGGACTATTCATCAGATTGCAGATTTGAGAGAGAGAAGGGACTTACTTCAGAGGCCACTCATCCAACCCTCTCATTTCACAGATGAGGAAACTGAGGCCCGTGTGTCAAGGGACTGCCTGGGGTCACAGAGGCAGTAAGTGGGAGATTTGGGATTTGACTCCAAATCCAGAGCTCTTTCCACTACATCACACTTCAAAGATTAAATTATGTTGTCTAATTTCAATGATAAATACATTCTGATATGGTTTCATTACTTGACAAGCGGGAAACCTTGTATTACTTGGCTCCCAGAAAACTGGATTTGTAACCATGAGACCAAGTTTGCTGCTTACTATCTGTATGACCTTGGTCAAATCATTTTATTCTCTGAGCCTCATGGCCTCTAAGATCCCTTCCAGCTCCAAGGAGAAGATACTATGCCTTAAAATCAAATCCTAAGGCCGTCACCTAACGCTGTGCAGCAAATATATTAACATATTAACTATACAATAATAACAAAAATACAATTACATATTAACTAGGATTTAAGGTTTACAAAGCACTTGTCTCATGTATTATCTCATTTGGTCCTTAGAACAACCCTGTGAGGTTGGGGATATGATTATCTCCATTTTAAAGATAAGTAAAATGAGCCTGAGAGAAGTTGAGTGATTTACCCACAGACACACAGCTAGAAAGCACCTAGGGTGAGGTATGAACTCAGGTCCTCCTCACCCCAAGCGCAAGACTCTTAGCCTCTGGCACTCCTTTACACCACCTCTCTGGCCCTCTGTTCCTTCCTCTTCCATGTCGATGTCTAGAATGTTAGGATTTTTTGTTAGTTCAAGTGTCTGGCTCTCCAGTTTCCCACACTCTCCGACTCCTAGGGCAGAGCTTTCTGCCATCAGGGGAGGGGAAACCTCTATGTTGTTTGGGTCACAGGAAAGGACCCAGGACCCTGGGGAGGGTGAGGAGAATGCAGAAGAGATGGGCATTTCTGGCTTAAAAAGAGAGAGGGTAGAGGTGGGGAGTCAGCAGTGGCAGACAGAAGGAGTGGGGAAAGGGAGTGTGTGTGTGTGTGTGTGTGTGTGTGTGTGAAAACAGCTGGCTTCCCTCCAGAAGTATTCACACAAAGAAGATCTCACTGCTTGGCTGACTGCAAGGTAGGACTCCCGATGGGAAAGTTCAAGAGCTCCGGGCTCATACTATGGATCTATCCAGGCCCCACCATCAAACTGGGGCCACCTGAGTGTGGGGGACTCATCTCTCCCCATCAGACCGGAGGCTCCCTGAGGGCAGGGACTTCAGTCTTCTTCACTAGACTGGGGGAGTCATGAGCTACCTATAACCATGGGTTATATTAGAGCTGACGTCAGGGCTGGAGGAGACCCCCGAGGACATGTAGTCCAGCACTCTGATTTTACACAGAAGTAAGCTAAGGCCCAGGGAAGGGAAGTTGCTCGGGTAGACCCAGACCAAGGGAACCTTCAGGGGGTGGGGAAGACTAGAGCTGCACTGTCCAGGGATCTCAGGGGGGCATTTTCTGTGGGCTGACCTGGGCTCCAGACCTTCAGGAAGCTTTCTAAGAGTCGAGAAGGAGGAAGCGTTTCAGGGTGTCTGCAGTCTCCTCCTCCCCCCGCCTCTTGTGATCCAGGAATGGGCATGGTAAGGGGCTTATTTATCAGGTGGTGAATCTGTGACGACAGAGTAATTCAGCTACAGGCCAGGCTGAATCTCAAAATCCCATGGTTCTGGGACTGCCTCTGCCTCCCATGGGTGGGCTCCCCGCGTCAGCATCAGAAGGCCATTACAACAGTCCAGGGGAGAGGGAAAAAGAGACTGAACTGGGGGCTGGCCACAAGACTGGAGAGGAGGGCGGATGGTTTGGAAACAGGACTGAGCAATTCCTCTGATAGATGTCGGGGGGCGGGGGGCAGGGGCAGGGAGGAGCCAAGGTTGGCTCTGGGTGACTGGGAGAGCACTGGCGCCGTTGGCAGAGTCGGGGATGTCTGGTAGATGAGCTTGTCTTGCGCTGGCTTTGGAGAAGTTGTACCTTTAGGTAGCTGGGGGCTCCCAGGTGAAGGGGGTTTTGCCTGCGCGATCAACGAATTGTGGGATCACAGAGAGGTGGCTGTAGCGCTGTATGGGACCTCTGGGTCCATAAAGTCTGCTCCCTCATTTTACAGATGAGGAAACTGAGGCCAGGGAAAAGAAGGGACTTGCCCAGACTCACAGAGGAAAGACGTGCCTGACCATGAACTTGAACCCGGGTCCTGTGGACTCCAGATCCGAGGTCTTATCCATTTTACTGTGCTGTCTTCCTCCCTCCCTTCCGAGTCTGCTTATGATGGCTAACAAAGCCCGGGCTTGGACAGTGGGTAAGAACTGGGATGTATGAGGGAGGGGCAGGTGAAACAAGCCTTCATTTCATCTTGCTCTTTCCCACTGAGAGAAAAACCCACTCTCAAACACAAGTGGTGTGGCGCATGCGCAGAGCTCTGGGCTTGGATTCTGGCACTCCTGGGTTCCAATCTTGCCAATGACCTTTACCCACCACTTTATTTCTCCAGCCTCAGTTTCTTCATCAGAACAGCACCTCCCTCACCAGGTTGTAGTGAGGCCCTAATGAGAAAACCTTGCCGTGGGACTTTGCAAACCTGAGAGGGTTGCTCTGGGGGTGACTGCTTAGCTCTCCCGTTCCCAGGGGTCACCATCTGGGGTGATCTGGAGATAATTATTCCTGTTCTGGTTCTGCCCCCGCAAGCCCGGATCTAAACCTGAAATGACTAGCCCCCTGCTCCGTTAAGTGGATACCTATTTCTCCTTCCCAGCTGTTCCCCATTGATGCCTGTCAGGAATAGAATTTCTTCTCCAGAGACTCTTTCATACCTATGACCTCACCTTGTCCTCCTCACTAGCCTATGAGGAAGACGAGGAAAGAATTATTCACCCCATTTGGCAGATGAGGAAATTGAAACACAGAGAAGGCGAGTCATTTTTCTAGGGTCACACAGTTGGTTACTAGAAGCACTGGGGCTAAGAATCCAGCTCTCCTGACTTTATGTGGGATGCCATGTTGGCTAGCTTGGTACCAAGAGCTTCAATGCAATGTGAGTTTGAAGGGAATCCCAAGGACCCCGTGCAACCTCTCACAGTCAGGGGGACAGTTCTGTTCAACCCTCCCTCCCACTTATCCCTCTCTCACCTTGACCTCGTTGGAGGCCACAGGGCATGCCGGGGGATCCTCCAGGCTCACATCATCCCCCAGTAGGATTGACGAGGACTTGTCTGAGTTCAGGGAGAAGGCCTCCACCTCAGCCAGCTGAACCTGGAAGAAGTCACAAACCACCTGCTCAGCCTTCAATGGGCTTGGGAGGTGGGTAAGGGCAGGGAGGTACAAAAGGAGGCAAGAAAAAGAAATATTTATTGTTAAATATAACCATTCTAAGAGCAAAGAACTAGGAAAAAATTGGATGCCCAGTAATGGAGGGAATGACTGAACCGATTATGACATATGAATGAAATAGGGTAGTTCCATACCATGAGTAATGGCAAAAAGGCTAGATTCAGAGAAACTCGGAGAGACTTGTATGAACTGATGGAAACAAAAGTAAGCAGAACCGAGAGAATTATCTATACAATGGCCAGCCACAAAAATAAAAGGGGAAACAATCTGGAAAGACATATGGACTCTGATCGATGCAAGGACAGACATTTTTCAGATAGCCATCCTTGGGCTTGTGGAAGGAGGAATGGGGAGTAGTCATGGAGCCATCATTGAGCTTGAGGGATGGCTGAGGGGTAGTCAAAAGGAAGTCAAGGAGGGCAGCGTGGTACAGTGGAAAGAACATTGACTCTGTAATCGGAGGACCTGGGTTCAAATCTTGCTTCTGATGCTTACTACCTGGGTGACCTTGGGTAAGACACTTAACCTCAATGAACCTCAGTTTCCTTCTTTGTAAAATTAGGAAGTTGAAATAAATGGTCTCTGATCTTCCAGATCTGGATCTATGATGCTGTAACCACCTAGTGAGTCACAGCTGGGGTTGGAGGTAGAGAAGGTAGGGAGAAGTTTCATGCTACAAGGCCATTGCTGGGCTTGGAGGGAGAGAGAATCAGGGGAGACAGGAAGAGGTCATAGCACCCCCCCTCACAGGCTGTTACAGGCATCTTAGGGAAAAAGGACCATATCTGAGGAGTCACGAAATTCTGGGATTTTAAAGCTAAAAAGGAACTTTCCAGGCCTCTGGCCATCTGGTTGAATCTCCAAATTTTGCATGTAAGGAAACAGGCCTGGAGAAGGGAAGCTATTTTTCTGAACTCAGAGATTGGGTTAGAAACGGATGAGTGTTCACCCAGTTCTCTCTGGATTTGATCTACTTTCTCCAAATACTCTAGAGCCATTTGGGCAGGGTCTGGACTGCACAAGGTCAGAGAGGGCTACCCTCCAGCTGGAAACAGTATCTATAGAAGGAGAGGGTGAGATGAGAACAGGGACCCAGGAATCTGATCAAATAGCAGAACAAGAGAAAGGCTTTCTGCCTAAGCAGGGATGGCGGATGGCACACTACAGCCAGAGAAGCAGAAGGCTCTCCTTCATGGAGCAGGAAGGAGTTTCCTCCCAAGCTAGATGGATAGGAGGATGCCTTTGCCTCCTGTCCATTGGAAAGGGAACTTCAAAATCAGCAGACAGAGCTACAGGCTGGGACCAGAAGAGGTTGCCCCAAGGATGCACTGGTGGAGGAACTTTAGAACACAGAATGTCAGAAGTGGGAGGGGCCTTAGAACAGGGAATGTCAGAGTTGGGAGGGAACTTAGAACAGGGCATGTCAGAGCTGGGGATGGGGCAGATTATTAGAGCTGCAAGGGACCAGTTCAACCCCCTCATTTTATTTGTGGGAAACCTGAGGCCCAGAGATGGATTATGCTTTGCCCAATGTCACACTAGATGTTAATGGTAGAGCCAAGACTCAAATTTGGTTCTCTTTGGCTCCTAATCTAGGATTCTCTCTTCTATTCCATTCTGGGGACAAGGAAAGCTCCCTCAGGTCATTAGAAATGCCCAAAAGCAAGATCACTTCAAGAGGTCAAGATTGACAACGGTCTTGGCATGAACCCTTGGCAGATCCATAGCTAGAGCAGGGCAACCAGAGCTGTGACCCAGGGTGCCAAAATTTAGAAGGTGCTTGATATTCTATGCAGTCTTTCCAGAGACAGAAACAAGCTTAATACCTAGTTAGGAAGAATAATTAGTTAAAAGAAGAAGCTACCATTTAGTGAGGTCACTTCTTTCGAATCCAGCTGGCCACATCCTAGGTACCCAGCTCCAGCTTCTCTAGCAGCTGCCATATCTCTAGCTTGCCACATCCCCCATTCTCACTCTCCAACTCAAGTCTCTAAAAGACGTGACTTGAAGGCACATTCCATGCCATTTTCCCCACTTACAAGAACAGCTCATGTGGTTCTGACCACCTTCTGCCATCCCCATTCCCAGTCTACTGCCTCATTCTTTTCTTACAACAACCCCATGAGGTAGCCAGGGCAGGGTCAGACAGGGACTGCACTCCCTGTTTAACATACAAAGAAAATAGGACCCAGACAGGTCACATAACTGGCCCAAGGTCACACAGCATGGAGTCAGCACTTGAACTCAAGTCTCCAGAAATTCTAGCCAAGTACCAATGGATAGAAGGAGCTGCTCTGGCAACTGAGGAGCATACTGTGGGACTGCCCCCCACACCATACACAAGGCTGCCCTTTCTGCCCTCTTATCCCATGGTCCCTCCCCAACCAGCCCTGCCAAGGAAGACACTGGCCAACCGTGAAAGGAGCCAGGTCATGGAACAGATCCCAAGCTGCTGCCTAAGCCTGTGCCAGCTGGGGGTGGGGTGGGGTGGGGGAGTGGCCCCTTCCCCCCAGGACCCCTGCCCAGATGTTACCTCTTGCTGGTCATGATCACACCTCTCGCACACAGCCGGGGAGGAATAATGGTGGAAGACGGAGCCGGACAGGTTATCGATCATCATTAGCTCTCCTTCGAAGGAGTCCTTAATAATTAAAGAGACACTGTCCAGCCACAAGTTCTCCTAGGGGGGGACAAGAAGGAAGGGGGTGGGGAGGAGGAGGGGAGAAATTACTGGAAGGAGCCAGAGCGGAACAGCGATGCTCGGTGGGAATCTGGGGGAAGAAGTGCAAGGAAGTGGAGGTGAGGGGCACGGCCTCCTGGGGCCTGGGGCAGTGTTGGGAGTTCATGAGATCCAGACTTGGAGGAGGCTTGGAGATGACCTAGTCTAACCACCTCATTTTACAGAGGAGGAAACTGAGGCCCAGAGAGGGGAGGGGAACTGTTCTAGGTCAGCTAGTAAGTAGGGGAGCCAGGATTTGAACCCATATCCTCTGTGGGTGCTCTATCCACTGCACTAGGCTGTATTTCCAAGTTTTGCCTAGTCTTCTGAAAGAAGAGGCCAGCGCCTCTGGTCTCGGGAGAGGTTTCATACCACTCCTGCCCTGCCAGGCCTCCAGGCCCACATCAGTCTCCACCAAACCAGACTTGGCCTTCAAAGCCCAGGGATGCTCCAAAGGCCCCATCCACCTCCTGCCAGGCAGCCAGCCAGCCTTCCCGTCCTCGCCGGTCATGTTTGCTGGCCACCGCGCCCCTGAGGGCTAACTCACTCCACGAACCCCTGTTCAACTGTGAAATCCCCCTCCGCGGCCCAGCTCGGCCCCTCTCCTTTGCCATTCCCGTCCTCTCCCGGTCTCAGGGCTCGGGCCCAGCCGATTCAGCACTGGGCCAGCCATGCCGCACTCCCACACCGCGATGCCGCGGTCACCCCCCTGTCCTCCCGGGCTGGGTAAGGGCTGCGCCCCTGGGAGCCCCCTACCTGGGCCGGGGAGTAACAGCGCAAGCAGCGGCGCGCCTCGGGCTCGGCGGGAGGCCCCGCGCCGGCCGCACAGCCTCCGCCTTTGCCGGAGCCCGGGGAGCCCGAGCTCCGCGGGCAGAGGCCGTGGGCCATCTCCAGCTCGATCTCGGCGTCCATCTCCGCATCCTCCTGCGCCTCCTTGTTGCTGTCGTCCAGGTGCTTCATCAGCACGGCCACCACCACGTTGATGAGGACGAACTGGGCGGTGAGCACGAAGCTGACGAAGTACAGCGGCGAGATGAACTGGAGGTTGCTGAGACAGCTGCGCTCGTCGTGGGTGCAGTCCCGCAGCGTGTCCTGGGTGGGGGCAGAGGACGCAGGGCCAGCGTCACCTGCTGCGCCTGGAGCCTGGAGGGGCCCTGCCGCCAACCGCCCGGGGGAGCGTGCGGCAGAACCCCCGCGCCCCGCGGTGAGGCCTTGGACAGCGGGACGGCCCATTCCACTGGGCTCCCCTTTTTTTTTTTTTGGTCTTGTGCCCATTAATTTCACGGCCACGAGGCTCGGGAGAAGGGCGGGGGAATTTCCAGCCTCCTCTCCACCACCCCCTCGGCTTCCTCCTCTTGCTTACTTTAGCGAATTCCCAGTGATTAGCCCTTCCTGGCCTGAGTCTGTCCAGCTCCTCGTGGACTGGAAACCCAGACGGGTGCCATCTGAGAGTGAAAAGGCACCCTGGAAGGCCAATGAGTTCAACTCTTATTTTACAAATGAAGAAACTGAGGCTCTCAGAGGAACAGTGGGATGCTAAGGTCACACAGCCAGGAGCCCCTGGCAGAGCTGGCATTCATCCCCTCATAACCAGGGCTCCTTTTAGGGTGCCAGTTTACATTCTATCTCATTGAGGCTTGTTCCCAATGTAGACGTGTTCCCGTGGTTCTATTTGTGGGTGTCCCGTTCCGCTGCTGACCTCACCTGACACTTCGTTTTTGTGTCCCCAACACGCTAATGTGTAATATGCATGATAGTTATTGGCATGGGTGTCTCAACCACCTTCTAGACTGAACTACTGAGGCACAGATCATGTCTTATTTGTCTTTCTGTGTCCTTCAGAGCCTGGCCCAAGGCTTTGTTCATAGCAGGTACTCAAGAAATGTTTGCTGAATGAATGAATGAATGAATGAATGAATTCTGAGACCAAAACTCAGGCCTCTTGCCTTTGGCCCAGGACTCTCTCCACTTGCACACACTGCCTTCCCCAAGATCTCACTGAGTGGGATGTGGACGGGCAGACAACTGGAGAGGAGAGGGAAGGGAAGGCCTGCTGGTGCGTTCAAGTCATTTCACAGCAGGGTCACTGATTCCAGAAAGCTGGCAACGCTTTCCTTGCTCATCTCTGTCTCTTTAAACCCTTGGCTTCTCTCAAGGCTCAGCCCAGGTAGCATCTCCTACCTGAGGCCCTTCCGGATATCCCCAGTGTTAGTTATCAGTGACTGATCATTTCCCCAGTAGACTGGAAGTTTTGTGAGGGCAAGGAGTGTTTTTTGTGTTTGCATCCCCAGCATCTGGTATAGTGCCCAGCACACGGCAGATGTTTATGCTTGTTGGATTGAATCGCCGAAAATGTGAAAATGGGACCAAACCTCAACCGAAACTCCTTTCATTGCTTTGTTCTTTAATTTTCCCCACCCCCAACCCTGGGGAATTTTGAGAGGAACATTACTCCCTCCTTCATTCCTTCATCCATCCCTTCTTTCCTCCATCTATCCTTTCCTCCCTTTCTTCTTCTTCTTCTCCTCTTCCTCCTCCTCCTCCTCCTCCTTCTCTCTCTCTCTCTCTCTCTGTATTTGGGATATCGAATCTTGCTGCTAAGGGATTTTTCCCTATATTAATTTATCCATTAATTACACAAAAATCTGTTTATTTTTCTTCCTTCCTCCCTTCCTTCCTCTCTTCATTTACCTGTCCTTTCCTCTTTGCTTCTTCACTTCTATCCATCTCTTCCTTTCTCCACCTGTCCCTTCTTCCCTCCCTTATTCTGTCCATACTTTCTTTCCTCCATCTATCCTTTCCTCCTTTTCTCTATCCATTCCTTCCTTCCTCCGTCTATCCTCCCACCTGATCCTCCCTCCTGGTCCCCATTTACCTTCATGATCCCATTCCAGTTGTCCCCAGTAGAGACCTGGAAGAGCGTGAGGAAGGCCATGCCAAAGTTCTCAAAGGTGGCATGGCGGCTCATACCCTCACAGGGGTGCTCATCGCTGCACACTGGGAAGAGAAGGAAAAACAATGTTAGAGGTGGACTCAGCATCCCAGACCCCGCCTCTTCTGGGTTTATGGGTGGCTTCCTTGCAATGACTGGCTGGTGTTCTAGGTAGCAAGGGACCACTGTCATTGTCAGACCTAGGTGGGGACTGAAGCTCCCCCACCCCCCCAAACCCTGCTCTGGCCAGTGGAGACTCTTTGGGCAGAGGGGGAGGGGAGAGCCCTCATTCCCAGGTCAGGCTGAGCTGCTTGCCTCCTAGGACCGTGAGTGAGAGTGGGCAGCACAATGCCATCTGCCAGGCCAGCCTCCTGCTCTCTGAAGTGTGTCTGGCACATTTCATGGCAGAATAAACTCAAGGAAGAAGCCTGGGGTGGTAGAAAAGCTGGGGCTAGAGGCAGCGGACTTAGAGTTGATGCCACTTCTGCCCCTCACTGGTCATTTGCCCTTGGCGAAGCCCTTGGGGCACTTCTGCAGTCAAATAGAGGGGGACACACTGGATGGTCTCGAAGGGCCCTTCTCAAGCAAAATGGAGGAGTCTGAGAGGTTTTATGGTGAATTAGGAAGATACCGCCTTGGTAACATGAAAGCTGGCACCTTTGTAGGGATTCAAATCATAAGTGAAATTATAGGAGTTTGAGCTAGAAGGGAGCTTAGAGATTACACAGTTCAGCTTCCTCACTTTACGGGCAAAGAAACTGGAGCCCAGATAAAGGAAGGGATTAGTCCAGTGTTGCACAGATAATAAGGAGCGAAGCTGGGAGTCAAACTCGTGTCTTCTGAAGCCAAATTCATCTACCTCTCTCTCTCTCCCTTTCTCTCCTCTCTCTTTCCTTCTCTCTCTCCCTTTCTCCTTCCCTTTCCTTCTCTCTCTGCCTTTCTTTGTCTCTGTCTCT